ATTCCACCCTCGGGTGACTGTCTGTGTGGAATTTGTACATTCTCCCCCTGTCTGCGTGTGTTTCCTCTCATAGTCCAAAGATGTGCACATTGGGTGGCTTGGCCATGCTAAATTGCCCACAGAGTCCAGGGACGTGTAGACTAGGTGGATTAGCCATGGGAAATGCAGGGTTGCAGGGATAGGGCACGGGGCTGGGGCTGGGGCTAGGGCTAGGTGAGATGCTCTTCAGAGGGTCGGTGTGAGCTCGACTGGCCAAATGGCCTGCTTCCACACTGTAGGGATTCTATGATTATTATTCAGATTAAGCTTAGGTTAACAGCTAGAGGTATTTATAATTAACTGGTTGACCTTACTGAGAAATTAACAATAAATACATATGTTTTCACAATTATTATCACTAGGCCATGTGTGATGAAATTTAAATAATTTATTACTGAATAAGCTGTTGACAAGATAAACCCTGTAATTTTATAGCACCTGGCACTTTGCACCAATCCTGCAAATTGTCCCTCTTTTTTATCAGCTTTTTGGTGTCATCACTTCAGTGTCCCTACTGTATAACTTAAAATTTGATCAGCAATGCACTGAAGTAAAATACTGCGGTCACAGACAGTTCTTCAGTATCTTCCCGGAAGTCATCATTCATTATGTGATTGGTGATTGACTCAACAATAAGACTGTAGATTTGGGAACTGCTTGATCCATATGCCCGTATACTTACCCTTGAATTCCATCAAGGACTCTATAAGAATATTGCATATTTAGAATATATTTGAAAGAATAGTAGATATTTTGCAATGAGGAATAATGAGCAATTGCTGGAGGCATCTGTAATTTCTGTACAATTTTAGAATGGTGTGCTTTGGCTCAATTAAGCCAACATGTCTTGCATTTCTAAGCAGAATATTCTAACCAAATACTCTTTGATCAAGCCTTTTAAATCAATACTTTTACTGAAGCTTTCTCTCACTGTTCACAATGTGATTGGAATATTTGATTGAGTTACTGACTTGAAGTTCACAGCATTTTATTTTTTGACAATTTACATTTGGAACTCTTAGCCATTTCTATGCACAAATGGTTAAATGCAATGAACTTTTCAGATTCTAGTTCAAGTCGAAAGATTTCTTTTCCCTGATTTGGTTGGAATAAGTTGAATGATTTCAAGGTGTATGCAATTTGAACACATTGTTTGAGTTCACACTGAGATAGTACTTTCGGAAGCCATGAACACACACTTTTTCTGAAGAAGGGTCTAGGCCCAAAACGTCAGCCTTCCTGCTCCTCTGATGCTGCTTGGCCTGCTATGTTCATTCCAGCTCTACACCTTGTTATCTCATACTATTCCAGATATGATTTCCCCAATGCCTTGTACAATTTTAGCAAAACATCCCTGTTTCTATGTTCCATTTTCCTTGCAATAAATAGTATTTCATTTACCTCCTTAATCACTTGCAATACCTGCATGTTATGACTTTGTGATTCATGTACCAGAACACCCAATAGGTCTGCACCTCAGAGTCTTGCAATCTTTCCTGATTTAAATAATATGCTGTTTGTTTTTCTATTCTCCCTGCCAAAGTGAACAAGTTTGCTTTTTCCCACATTGCTCTCCATCAGCAAGATTTCTACTGACTCACTTAACCTTTGCAGCATTTGGAAATAATCCTATTCCTACATTCTACATCCTTAGCATCATAGATAGTAATTGGGAATTCCATGCATTGTGTGTACAATCAATGAATATTTAATAAGACAGTGTGATATGATTAATACACAACCCACCTTGATCCTCAATACATTTGTACCTGTTTATTTATATTTCAAGTATAAAAGGAGAGGCTATTGCATGGCAATAGAGGAAAAGATCAGAGATATTATCAAAAGATAAATTGATATGGTCAAAATTACAGGATAAAGCCATGGGTGTGAATGGATCTGCACATACACAAAGTAGCTTGGGACAAAAGATGGAACTTGTATTTAGAAGGGGAAATTGGAAGAGAAATGGGGCCAGAACTTTGGCATACTCCTAAACTGACCCTCATATTTCAAACAAAAGAACAAATCCAGGGAACTGTGGACCCTAAATTTAGCTTAGATAATAAAACTTTGTTTT